GTATATATCACTAAATATATACCTATATATAAATAAAAATATTTTTTAAAAATTATATATATATAGATTCACATACGTATATATATATATATATATACATATATTCTACATATATATTTATGTAATATTTTTACATAATTAGGTATCTTAATTAATTACAATTAGCGGGACCTGCCTGACAACCCATGCCGAAAGTAAAGGGAATTTAATTTGCTAGCACTATATTTAACCCTATGACTTTCCAAGACACCATAAAACTTGTACATGGGGGGTACTGTTCTACTCTGGAGACTTCGCTGAACACAAATATTAGTATTTCAAAACAGTAAAATGTATTACAAAGATGATATCGCCAGTAAAAGTGACTTTTTTGCATTTTTCACGCACAAACAGCACTTACACGGACGATATTATTGCTGCGATACTTTTTACTGTTTTGAAACACAAATATTTGTGTTCAGCGAAGTCTCCTGAGTACAAGAGTACCCCTCATGTACAGGTTTTATGGTGTTTTCAAAAGTTACAGCGTCAAATATAAGGCTTGCGTTTCATTTTTTTCACATTAAAATTCGCCAGATTGGTTAGGTTGCCTTTGAGACCCTATGGTAGCCCAAGATTGAAAATTACCCCTATGATGGCATACCATTTGCAATAGTAGACAACCCAAGGTATTGCAAACAGGGTATGTCCAGTCTTTTTTAGTAGCCACTTAGTCACAAACACTGGCCAAAATTGGCGTTTTTGCATTTTTCACACACAAACAAATACTAACGCTAACTTTGGCCAGTGTTTGTGACCAAATGGCTACTAAAAAAGACTGGACATACCCTATTTGCAATACATTGGGTTGTCTACTATTGCAAATGGTATGCCATTATGGGTGTAAATTTCATTCCTGGGCTACTATACAGTCTCAAAGACAACATAACCTATCTGGCGAATTTCAATTTCAAATGTAACGTGCTATATTTGACCCTGTAACTTCCCAAAACGCCATAAAACCTGTTCATACACGTGAGACTTTGCTGAATACAAATATGTGTATTTTATTGCAGTAAAAGCAAACGGTATTATGATACTGACAGTTAAAATGTCATGTAGAACTAAAAAAATATAAAAAAATTCTTATTTTCTCCCATTTTTTTCATATTAAATTATGTTTCATAGCTAAATATTTGATATTAAATGAAAGCCCTGTTTCCCCTGAATAAAATGATATATAATAAGGGTGGGTGCATTTAATATGAAAGAGGTGAATTACGATTGGACAGACATGTAGCGCAAATGCCAGGTTTTGTTTACATTTTGTTTTGTTCACAACGTGTACATTTGGCTCCGTCCTTAAGGGGTTAAACGGCACGATATTTTTGTTTTAAAACATGAAAATAACAGGATGTAAGCAGTTTCATAGGATTACATATCGTGGTAAACATGCAATATTTATTGTGAAACAATCTGAATTAGTATGTCTAAAGACATGGTAAGATTACAGGCTTGCATCATTAGACATATGTGCCCATTCAAATATGTAAATATGTGCTTTCTTAACTATGAGGCATAAAAATGAACAGGCAGCATAACTTTAAAGCTAGTTACGAACGTGGCATGTACTGTGCTGGTTAGGCTTAAACTATTGCGATACTAGAGGTGATTAGTGTGAGCACTGTATCTGCTTAAAGTATCCCCCGGGAGGCTTCCCAGGTAAATTAGACTGAAGTCTGTCTGAGAACAAAATAAAGGGAACATGTTAGTAAAGTTGAATTAATGCAGGTGTTACTCAGTTCTTGTGCTCAGGTTAGCCAATGCCTCTCTGAGGCGCTCTGTTTTCCTGCCAAGAAAGTCTGTGTTGCTGGCCTTGTTGCCCCGCCAGATCGGGCCCTGAATGCATGGTTTGGGGGGAATGCAGATTTGCAGCTGTCAGCAGGCTTCTCCCGTGTGGCCTCGTATATGTGCTGTGCTTCGGTTTCTTTGCTGTGGTCTGTTACGGCTCCCCCGGTAGGAGAGGGGTTACTGCCGTATAGGACGTTCCCTTCCCGAATACAGAGGTAGCCACTGAGCGCTCCAAACTGCCGAACAGCAATCACACGAACCAGTTAGTCTCCCAAACAGCCGGACAGCAATCACACGAACCAGTTAGTCTCCCAAACAACCGAACAAGCGTAATCCACACAAATAATCCCCCCCAATGACGAGACAAATCTCCGTATTGAGAGTCAGCAGGAATCTGGTTTATTGAGGGCTATCTGCCCGGTATTTATGCAGGTCTCCCACCTGGTGGACACTCCCCTAGGGGACCAAATGGGAGACTGTGACAAGGACATTACATTGACCAATCAGGGTGTTACACATGTAGCCATGCCCCTTGAATTACCCAAGACCCTCTGCTCTGCCCGGGAGATAATTGTGAAGTAATTCAATTATCTCCCTGGACAAAGACCAAATGCCATCTTAAGTGACCATGACAAAAATGGTTAAAAATATATAACTTGACAATATTACAGTATAACATAGGTATTCAACGTGTCCCCAGATAGCTGGGATCTGAGCGCACAAAAGTACCGAATAGCGCTCAGATCCTAGGCACACCGTCCAATCGCCATAGAGTCAAAGTGTTCACAAAGCCTGTTCTCCATACGAATAGATTCCACGGGATGACTATCTATGGCTTTTGGTGAATAAAAATACCAAACATAGGGTGTTCGTGGCTTTTCTACCGAAGGAGAAGGGAGGTCGGCGGCTTCAGCGGTATTCGTACCAAATAGTGTCCATTTTGAGTTTCATGAGTTTGTTGTCGAACATCGCTGAGCGTTCGTGTATTTAAAATGGCCGCAACCTCGTGTTCGGGATACGAATGGCGGCCACCCAGCTACAGGCACTAATTAAGAGGTGTTTGCGGTTAACCTCAACGTTCTAATAGGGCCAAGAGGTTAACCAGCAGCACACTTCTCTACTGGGTGACCGGCCGTTCGGGAGTTTTGTTCGGTAGTTTCAGGGAAAGTAAATGGAGTCCATATGAACGGGGAAAAACTCCATTTTTATTATTATTTTTTTATTATTACTATTATTATTTTTTTAATATTAAATGTTTTATTTTATTTATTTTTTAATATTATTAAATTTTAATTTTATTATAATATTATTAAAAATTTTTTATTTTTTCGTCCCCCCCTCCCTGCTTGATATATATTATTCCCTGGTGGTCCAGTGTATGGGCTGTGCAGGAGGGGGGCTGGGAGCAACCTGTTACCTGTGCAGCAGCTCTGTTCAGCTCCCTTCTCCTCCATGCCATTCATGGCCGTCTGACTCTGAGTGTGTTTGTGGTTGTCTGCGTGTGTGTGGCTGTCTGCATGTGTGTGTGTGTGTGTGTGACTGTCTGCATGTAAGTATGTGTGTGTAAGACTGTATGTGTGACTGTGTGTGTGTGTGTGTGTGTGTGTGGCTGTCTGCCTGTAATTGTGTGTGAGTGTGTTTATCTACCTGTAACTGTGTATGTGTGTTACTGCCTGTACCTGTGTGTTTCTGCCTGATCCTGTGTATGTGGCTATCTGCCTGCGACTATGTGCATTTGGTGGATTTGACAGTGTAAATGTATAACTGTGTGCACATAACTCTGCAAAAATATAAACCTGCATTTACACACAGGCCTAAATGTATGTTTTTATCTGAATTAAATAATCATCACACACAGCCAATAAACCCAGCACAAATATCACATACAACCAATAAACGCATATCACACGCTGTTAATACAC